ACCTGACTTTGCTATCAGTGCCAAGAGATGCAACTTGCAGCTGATCTATACGGTAGGCACTCGACGGGTCCATCTTCATCTTCAAGACTGATTGATCGTGCGCTTGCCACTCCTTCTTCAGAGTCCAGGGTTGCTCGGTAGTGTCGTATACACAAATCTTGCCCGTGTTGTAGGCTGCCCAAATATTATGTCCCACACCGGCAAGTCCATTGATCTTCCAGGAACTAACATTCAAGATCATTTGACAAGTGTAGTCTGATGACGAAAAAATACTCACTTTTCCGTCCATATGACCAAAGTACACCTTGCCAGGCATTGAACTGAGTAAGGTTCCGGCACTAACATCGCCACAACCGTCAGCGGTCAAAGGTCGAACCAACACCTGAAAGGGTCTGGACCCGTCAGTTGAAGGCTCAAACACCCGAATCGCTTTGCCAGTTGCGTGCCATAGTTCGCTACCAACCACCATGGAGAAGGTGGCACCTTTTGGAAGCCTGCTTGGCTGAATAATGGGATGGCTTTTCAGGTTCGGAACGCCATCATTGTCACCAGGCCAAAGATTCAGTGTGCCTCCTTCGTCTAGTGACCATAGTTGGTTGTAGTGTCGGTATATTTTCGTGATCTCCGCCTTGCCGTGCACACCTGCCCTTACTTCAGTAATCCGTTGCGTGGCCACCTCGACCTCCATGAGCTCGCCCATATTGGTACCGATCCATATGAAGGCTCCTTCGTGGTCTGGGTCGGCGGCTGGCTTAAACAAAACTGCAGTTGCCCTGACTCCTTCGGTGTGAGCAAGACTCATAATCTGCTCTCCATCTCGGATATTCCAAACTCTCGTCAATTGGCCACTGGTACAGGCCAGGTCACCACAAACGTCAAATATTCTAGGATCATATTTGGTCTGGATCTCATGGCAGCCCTTTTTGGCATGTGGTGGTTTTCGATTTACATTTGCGCAGTCCGGAAACGCCGTTACATGTGCAGCCGGCTCTGCACTTGCTGCAGGCTCAGGCTCGATACTACGGGGTGTTGGGCGACTGGCCGATATTGATGACGGAGGCAGCATGAGCGCTCGCGGATCAGGCACCTCCCTATCCGCGGACCGGCCAACCGTCTTTACGGGCACATGATTTCGGGTGGGTGGCGCAGGAAACTGGTGAGTGGTCAATTGCTGCTGCTGCGGCTGCTGCTGGGACCGTCCAGCTGGTGCGGAGCTGGATAAGATATCCGGCGTGGCAGAAGTTCGCTGTTGAGCTGGTCTAGGTGGTTTCGGGGGCGGTTTGTCTGAGCTGTAGCTGTTGGCGCCGTATGTCATTGCCGTCAGGTCGCTAGTCGATCGTTTGGGAGAGTGGGCGAATCGATCATCTATAGGGTGTTGCGTTATGAGAGATGGCTTGGTGGTTCCATTCACGATCGGATCACGTTCTGTTCTCCTGACTGCTATAGAGTGATGTACCGGTGGCGGCTCAAAAGCCGCACCTACAACAGGCTTAGTTCTGGAGACAAGGTCCTTGTTGGGTTCTGCTCTTGGTCGCATGGGTAGCTCAGGAGCACTCTCGTCTCCGTCAGGTTTTTCCGGACTGGCTGGTGGGCTGTTGAAGGGAGACGTCTCGTCAACAATGTTGCCTTTGCTGGACGTGCTGATCTTGCGCGTATCCGGAAGACTCGATGAAACCGGTGTCGTTTTTCTGGACTTGTCGAGACGAGGAGCTGGCGGCGGCGGAGGTTGCTTCGGTTCCCGCCTTATTTCGACAGACCGTCTTGGAGGAGGTGGTGATGGAGGCTGTGTCGAAGTCAAGCGAGGCGAACGGGGAGCAGAGAGAGGATGAATCGGGGTGATAGGTCGACTGGGTAGCTTAATGGGTATTGGCGAAGCGCCTGGGAGCTCTTGCGATGTAGCTGTCGTCGGATCTAAAAATGGCGATTGATTGGCAGACATAACAGCCGAAGAGTGAGTTTTGGGCGGAGATTGAGGTGGCAGGACTTTGAGAGCTGGCGGCGGAGGCATTGTTAAGGCTGGTGACTTGGCGCCGTCCACCAGTGGCCGCGTAGATGTATGTGCTAGCGCAGGACTTCCGTCACGAAGAGTGTTTGGTTCTGTCGCGTGGAGCTGTATTGGTTTCGCAGGAGACTTAACCGGTGTCTTTGGAGGAGCTGCTGCAAGGGAGCTTGCGAGCGCTGACGCTGGACTGGGAGAGGGAGGAGGATCTTGCGATAATTTGAAAGCTCGTAATCTATCAGGCTTGGGGGCTGGAGAAATGGGCCTCGAAGGCGCATTTTGAGGAGGGACGAGAGGAGCAGTTTGACTTAGATTCTCGAACCGTGCGAGGAGGGAAGACACAGGTTTCTAGGTGCGTCAGAGAGGAAAGCAATAATTGTGTACCCACAAGATGCAAAGATGGCTTGTACTTACGATAGAGGAACCATCAGGCCCATCATTGCCCGGCGGCTCCATGGTAGGAGAATGATGTGATGACATCGAATGCCAACTTCAATGCTGGTGTGGTATTGGGGACATGGGTTTGGGGCGTGAACTCCTTGTACACCCATTCTTTGCAAGGTCCAACGTTAAATCATGCCCGCGGGGTTGGCTTTGCGTTGAAGTAAGTTGTGGCGGGAACAGATGCGAATGCTTCGTTGCCTTGATGAGCCAATGGCCAGATTCCCTCAGATGGCTCAGTCGAGGCAATCGGGTACAGGGAGAAAAGCTATCGGCCAAATAAAACGAGTCGTAGGCAACACGGGATGCGGTCGTTGATGGAGTACGTCGACGTTGGAAGTGGAACACGCTGATAGGCCACGCGGTCTTTGTGTTGTCAACATTGAACAGCCACAGAACACTAGATCAAAATTATCAAACGGCCAAAGTAAACGGTTGTCGATAAAAAAAGAATAAACAGCTGGCTGGAAGAACGGCACGGTCGATGGGCGATGGGCAATTGGGATGGCTTGCGTGTCTTGTTGGTCTCTGTCGACAGGTACGAGTTGGCCCTCTCCCTTCCCCCCTCCCCCTCTGCAGTTGGAGGCGGTGGAGGGGATCGTCATTAATGTCATGGATTGTGGCTGCAGACACTGTGGCAACGGGTGAGACATCTGCGGCACCGTACAGTGCGGATGGCGGAGCTTGTGAAACGACTTGACTGGGGCTTCTGCCTCCGCCGCAGCAGGGTGCTTTTAAAGTGTCCGGTTCTAACTTTGGACTCACCAACAAGGTTGCTGGGAATGTTCCGATTAACAAGCAAGCACGAGGTCAAGGTCTGCCTAAAACAGTCATGACGGGTTGGTTGACCCGTTGATACAGGCCCAAAAGACCCAACGCCACGGTTAGCATGTCTGAGGCGGGGCTTCCTGGCGGTGCAAGGAACACAGAGAGAGCTTGAGCCACGCATGACATTTTAGCCCCCCCAAGCAGCGTGCAAATGCACCGAGCAAAGACGCAGGGTGAAACAAACCGGAAATGTCGAGCAAAAGCAGTTGAGCCTCATGGTTCGTACTCCGTACCTCGGTGGTCGGCGGCCGGCAGTTGCTGTAACAGCCACCTTTGATGTGCATTCGGCTTCAATTCGAAAAGTCGACAGTACGCATGACTACTCCGTAAAATGCCGAAAGTGTAAGTGCCGGTCGCTGCCGCACGTGCTTGACCTGCCCAAAGCCGCCGATGCTTCGGCTGTCGGACCAAGTTTAGGCGTCGAAGCCCAGCTTCGCCTCAGCCACTGTGGCTAAACAATGTTAAGCGTCCAAATCCACCTGCGCCGTTGAAGATCCGCAACATAGGTTCAACATCTACACCTCGACAGTTACCATTATATACTTCGTACACCGCACACGATCAATCAATCAATCACAAAATGAATACTGTGAGAGAAGCCCTATCGGAATTTTTCCAATCGCCTCCTATTCAGCATTAACATTATGCCAATAGGTTAAGTCTTTCTGGTTTGTTCCGTCCGCCGATTCCCGAGCTTCCTCGCCAAACTACTAACACCATCTTTCATTTAGGCTGGGCTGGGGTTCCCTCTGTGTTGGTAAGGTTCAACATTTGATTTTCCCCCCACGATTATAACCCACTAGCACACCGTCTAACGCGAGATTTCGTCTTTGCCAATTGCAGCCGGCGCAGGCGCATACTACTTTGCCAAACGAGAAATCAACGCCGACCGTCAGGCCAAGCTTCAAGCCGCGCGCAAGAAGAGGGAAGATCTTCGATCGCTAGAGTATTCCGGCCCCGGGTCGACATCTTCATCGGTCACCAACGGTAACGGCGCCCCTGCCATCACAGACACAGCTGGCTCGCCGAGCCAAGAGGCGGGCAATGATCCGGCTGCGACAAGACATGCTGCGGTGACAGAGTCGCAGCAGACGCGGGAGAAGAGCAAATATGAGAGTTCCACGCCGTATAGGAGTCCGAAGGGTGATCGGTTTTCATAACATACAAGACGTGAGCGTAAAGCGGCAGTTGACGGTCAGATAGCCGTAGGGGGCGTATCGCAGGCTGGCTGTTTTGTGTATTGGAGATATCGGCGAGGGGGGAAGCTTGTATGATACGTGCTGCACCTTTGAGTTATACATGAACACTTATTCTGCCAGTATTTCTCTGTCCTTTAAGTTTCTTTTCTTCCATATAGAAAGGGGGAAGACGGGGGCATTCGTGACCACACGTTTCTTGATCTTCGACTTTCCTCCTCCCACTATATCAAGTGACGGCTCACACTACCCGGCTTCAATGACGGCACAAATCAGCTCAATAAAGGCATCGCTCATTTACCAAGAATCTAGCAATCAACCAACCCCTCTACTACCCGACCTTGATGAGAAAACCGCAAAATTTCGCACCATATCTCCTACAACTGGAATCAGGCCACGCCCCACAAACCAGTACCTCATTGGTCAAACCACCGTCAAGCTACAACACCGAAAACACCATCGTAAAGCTGCCAGCTCCCAACGTCCCATTTCAAGCTTCATCGTCGACTTCGCCATCCACCAACTCCCCGCGCACCATGGCGACTCCCGAACTAACCATCGCCAAAGCTGCCCTATCAGCATCTCTCTTCCGCGCCGACCCAGCATCCATCAGCCGTCCCTCAGTCGACACTTTCTTTCAACAAGTCACTTCAACACTGACGCAGTGCTCCCGCCCCAATGTCCAGGTTTGCACTAAGCCACCCTTCGAGAAGTTTTTTGTCCCCGCCCCCCTGTAGGCGGATAAAACAAAGAGAAAAACTGTTTCTCGGTGCTTTCCTCGTAGCCATGCTAAAATCGTGTCTCTTGAAATCGCCATACAGACCTGCAAAGACTACATCCTCAGCAACATAATCCACTCTAGTGGCCGAAGCACCGCTCTTGCAAAATACCTCGTCGCCCTGTCAAATGCACAAGTCGATGACGCGGCACACCCTCGTCCCAGCACAAAACGCCGCCGTCTACACGTACTCTACATTGTCAACGACGTGCTGTACCACGCTGCGCGCCAGGGAAACCAAGACTTCCGTACCACCGTGGAAGCGTACCTCCCTCCGCTGATCAGCGCTGCCGCCTCATTCGAGAAATGTCCGAAACACATCAAGAAGCTACAAGACCTCGTTTCCATATGGAAATCAAAACAATACACTTCCGATGCTGTGATCCCCAAACTTCAAGAAGCCCTCGCCGGGTCGACCGTCTCCGCAACCCCAGAACCTGTCAATACATCTCTCAAACTCGCCAAGGAGGCGCCCTTCATACTGCCATCTTTCCACGGCGACGCATCGACAGCATGGTACGATTTACCGGCAGCCACGTGGCTGCCTCACCTGGTGCCGAATTCCACAAAACCAATGCTCCCAGATCTCATTCGTCCAATTCAACTCGCCCCAGGGCCGGCGGACAATGTCGTCACCGCTGCGGTAAAGGCGTTGCTTTCCGATGCGGAGAGAATCTTCTCCCGCGACAGAAGACCAGACGACGACGCGCACATCGACGTGAATGAAATGGGCGAGAGGATCGTATTGGATGAAATCACGGGTGAAGTCATTGGCGGAGAGACGTACTACGGCTGGTCCAGACGGTTCTGCGAACGAATGAAGGACCGCAGAAAAGGCAAACAAAGAGGTCGGTCCGAGTCTCAATCTTCAGCGCGCAGCTATTCGCGCAGCCGCCGCTCTTCATCACGATCCTTCAAACGCAGGCGCATGTCACCTTCCAGAAGCCGCAGCCGCAGCCGCAGCCGCAGCAGAAGCTACACACCCCGATCAGCCTCGCGCTCGCGCTCGCGATCACGATCACGAACCCGCAGCCGCCGCAGGTCCTATAGCAGCAGTCCCCATCGCGGCTCTCCGAAGCCATCTCCCCAGCCAACCGCCAACCCCAATATGCCATTCAACATGCCCATACCTCCCCTACCGGCAGGATACACAGGTCCCTGGCCGCCACCGCCTCCTCCCCTTCCTCCACAAGGCTGGATGCCAGATCCTACCTTTGCAGCTCAGATGATGGGTGTGTGGAACGGGCAAACTCCCCCGCCACCTCCTCCAACAACCCAAGCCCAAGCACAATATAACAATTATAATCAACGGGGTGGATATGACGGGTTTAGAGGACGGGGACGGGGATACTACCGAGGCGGTGGAAGGGGCTACAATAGAGGGAGATAATGCCAAATCCCGAGGATGATGATCAATATAGATAGATCCAGTGACATTGTGCCTTGTCACAATCAACAAATTCAACAATAAAATAGCCCACACAGTGCAGAATAAGACTTCTCAACAGTAGTGAACAATATCATCAAAAGCACAACATGGTCCTGACAATAACAGGTAGGAAAAGTCTATTGGAATATCACCAGCCGTCTACAAAATAGCAACGAAGCCAGCCACCCACAGCCTACACTTCTCCATGCTACCTACATTTCCTGCGCCCCTTTGCTTTCCCCATTCCGAACAACGGTGTTTTGGCACAACTCCTCACGCCTCATGTGCTTCCAATCACTTTTTCCCGACACAGAGTCAGAAGATCGAAATAAAACAGAGGCAAAAATGCGAGAACAATGCCAAACATGCCAGTTTGATGCAAATTCTCAAGCGCTTTTCTTTTGTTCCACTCAACCATGGATCCAATTTGCAAACGTGGAAAAAAGTGTAAGAAAAAAAATAAAGTAATAAAAGGAGCCCTGCAATCCCCCAATCCCCTAGGGAGGTCCCTTTTCTGGTACTTGATTAGGAGAAAGCGCACCGTAGAACGAATTAATGTCCGCACAATCACCGGAACAAAGGACAAAGCCGCATAAATATGTTGCAAAATGTGTCATGATAGCCGTAAAAGAGGAAGGGGTAGCGTGCAACTGCCCCAATCAAGTTCTGTTCGTGTTGTTGGTATGCCCCAGGAAACTACTGTAGCATCATCTCCAGGTATATCAGCTAAGCCAATGCAATGTAATTTTCCATGGAAAATTACCAGATTTCCCGCAATATATGGCCATTGCGATATCAACTGGTCTTTTAGATGGCGAAGGCAGGGTGTTCTTGCAGAAATATGACCGGGAAACGGGATGATCATCTGCTTCGAGCAGAGCTCTGAGAGTTCTGTCGTTCGTGGCCACCAGGCCGTCTACCGGCAGCATCCTGTAGCTGAAGTGAATCAAGCCGCTTCTGGTTATCCTCGGTAACAGGGTCTACTTCATCCACCCTTGACAAAACCCCGCCAACTTGTGGTCGTGAGGGGGCATCAGAAACACCGCCAGATACTCGTCGCTGATCAGCCTTCTCTGCTAAGGCAGCCCACTTGCGTTCTCGGAGTGCCTCTCGCTCAGCTGCACTATTTTGCTGCTCGGTGTAGTCGTGAGAGCAATCATCAAACAGCTGAGGGTTGATTTCCATGAATAGCTTCATAGCATTGTAAACCATTCCGTGAATCGTCCTGGCAGGGTGATCAGCATAAAAACAAAAACAAGGCACTCTAGTACGCCTCCCCAATCAATGGTTCATACCTGTTCCAGTGACCCTTAGAATTCTCGTAGAGCGGCGCAAACATAATGGGCAGAATTATTTCTACGTTGTCACTGACAAGATTGCAGAAGTACTCGTTATTCCAGAAGTAAAGCGCGCGTTCTGCGACCTGGAAGTGAGGGCTAGCCACGGACTTGGCGAGTTGATGGAACAGCGGTTCCTGGACCTTGGCGAATTCGGCCGGGTCCATGACTTCGAAAATGTCTTCAACCTCGTTCAAAAACATGACTTCTTTGGTGCTATTGACTTTAGGCCAGTATCGAAGTAGGCCAAGAACGACCTGGAGAGTAAACACACGCATTAGTCTACATGTCAGTAGCACGAGGAGAGGAATAATAGACCACATACATCTTCAGTAAGAGACGCATCTTTTTCCAAAAATTGTACAATGCAGTAGGCCAGCTGCGGATGGTACATGCTCAAGCTCTTGGGCTTGTGCAAAGGAAGCAAGACGCGGGTCAGGAAGATCTTGTGTTCTTCCTTTAGTGGTAGGGCAAAGCCATTGATAATAGATCCCAAAATCTCGAGTAGTTCGGCAATGCCGTTGAAGCGCTCCGTCTCGTACGTAAATTGGAAGAAGACATTGTTGATGGATCGGCGGATGAAAGATCGGAGGTTGAGGAATTTACCATAGATACGATGAAGGGTCGTCTTTAGGAAGTCTCGTTCTCGAGGATCCTCGGAATCAAACAAGTCGAGAAGTTGTAGGACAAAGCTGTGGTCAATGTAGGCTTTGGCAATGTTGGTGTTGAAATCTTGGCTCTCTATAAAGCGAAGGAAGAACTCATAGACTACCTGAATATGCGGCCAAGCGACCTCCAAGACGGGCTCATCTTCCTCTGGGTCGAACGCCTCGCCCTGTGGGTTCATCGGGGGAGGGATGGGTCGGAACAAGTTCTTGGCGAACATGTCGACGACTCTCGGATACATGGGCTCCGTGATGACTTGCCTGTTGTTGGCAACATAGTCAAGCAACTCGTGTAATGCCAGGCGCTTGATCTCCTTGGCTTTCATGTCTCCGCTGGCATCGTTGAAATCAAAGATGACGTTGCATTGGTCAATCTTTTGCATGAAAAGCTCTTGTCTCCTGTTAGGAGGAACTTCGTGGAAGCCCGGTAGTTTTTCCAGTTCTCGGTGAGCCGAGATGTCGAATCGAGACGAGTGCTGCCGTTTGGGGGTTCGCAGACCTTCAGGAATGGCGTCGCGGTTGTCAATGCCTCGATGGATCATGAGTGACTTCTGGCCCGCCTTGGGTGGTGCCAGGTCGTGAGGCATAGTTTCGGCGGCTCCAGGGGGGGGGATATGCTGCCGGAGCGTCAACATCAAAGAGTACCATCAATTGCACCGCAAGCCATCAGAATAATTCTACTTACTCCTGGGGTTGGGCTGATGACAACGGTGGGGGGTAATCTAGCATTGGCATTGCCACCGTTTGGACTCGAAGCACCACCCATGGGGCCAAACCGATCGGGAACATTGCCTTGCTGGCCTGGATTTGACGGCTGGTTTGGAACTCCATGGTCGCCGTGTCCGGTGGTGCTGGATGGTAAAGGCTTATTGCGGATGTCGTTGAGCGTGGTGGAGGAGGAGGTGGGCGTAAGGACAGGAGACTGGTTCGACGAGTCTCGGGACGAAGGGGACGACGTGCCATCCTTGGAATCCTTATTCTTCTTGGAGGATTTGCTGGCATCCTTGCCTCGCGCGAGCTGTTGGGAGGGGTGAGCAGCGCGTGTTAGCACACTGCGCCATGGCGTTTAATTGATACAGATGGAATGGCGACGCCGTGGCCCAAAGCGAAGCCCAAACCCAAATCCAAATCCATCACACAGACGCATGAGGATGAGGTCATGGGGCCATGGGGCCATGGGTGGTCAATCAAGGGAGTCGGGCAAGATGACTTACTAGTCCTTTGCCAAAGCGCTTCATGTTGGTCGTCGACAGCATCTACCTTCTCGTGTTCGTCGTCGACGATGGGGTTGACGGGAGGCAGACTCGGACGGGAAACGGCAGACGACGGACAGCGGACGGGCTGGCGTTGTTGGCGTTGCTGATGCGGACGCTTGTTGCTGCGAGGTCGAGTCTGCGACTGATTGCTGCGGTGGGGTAGCTTTGGCTCGAGGAACGGGGTCAGTCAACACACAAGCCAAGGCCAACGGGGGCCAAGGGGGTCAGGTGCAAGTGTGCAAGTCGGCGGGCCCTCTGAGCTGGGCACTGGGGTGCCTGGGTGCCTGGGTGCTTCAACCAGGACTGGGTGAGACGGTCGAGCGGGCAACACCAGTCGAGTTGATTAGCCGAGAGCAATTCTGAGCCGTCAATCGTCGTCGTGTGTTGTATGGAACCCGGCGCAGTACACTTTGGGCACTGGAGGGAGCCTTCTGCGCCCGCCTCTATCCTCAGTGCTCACAGACTAACCGCAGTACACCGAACTCCAGTTCCCACGGAGGCCAACAAGCCCGCAGATCTCACGTGCAGAATCGAGGTCGGGATCAAGTGAGGGAGGTGCAAGAGGTGCGAGAAGCCAACGGCCGGCTGGTGCGCACAAATATCTCGACTTCACCTCCGCACCGAGTACAGAGTAGAAAGCGCGACTGCCAGGCCCATCAGCCAGCTGCAGGAGAGGGACCTGTTGACGACAGGGGGTTACAGCCCAGATGCTTGAGGCGTCGGCTCCGTCGACTCTGGTCTGTCTGCTTTGACTTGGGCTTGCTTGGGAGTTGGGCAATTGGATTGGAGGAGAGGTGGAGAGCAACAACAGCCAAACTGGTCCTGGCCATGCAGACGCAAATGAAGGGCTCCAAGGTGCGACATGCAGCACAGCACGGTCGATGCAGCTGGCAGGCCAGGCCTGGACACAAGGCACTTGGGTACCTCGGTACTTGTTCGTTCTAGTTTCTGGTATTAAAATCACACCTAAATAATACTCTCGAGCACCCATTCTCCCGCCTCGCTCTGCTTCGTTTTTCACGGGGTGAGGGGTTCAAATAGTACCACCTTGTTTGCCTGGGGGAAGGAGACGGCACCCGAGCTACCAAATGTCTGGTAATATGTCTCGGCTCTGGACAAAACGTAGCGCAGGGCGATGCTCCCAGTTGGGCGAGACGGCATCATCAGTTGAACCACTCTAAACAGCAAACAGAGTAAAGTCAATACCAGGTAGGTACTCGTTGCTAGCTGCGTTGATCGCCCAATCAACGGGCCGAAACGCGACCAGAGGGACATGGAAATCCTCAATTCCGTGGAGTCATGTTTAGATGTGTATGTGCTGTCTGGTAGTAGTAGTACTACTAGCAACACAGTGCATGTGGGCGGTACTCGGGCCTTGTTAGCGTGCCGTGCTCCGTTAATACAACCCACGGTGCTTCCAGTGGTACTAATTAGAAACCACCAGCACCGGACTCTTGTTGCTTGTTGATCAGGAGACTGGCACCAGACTGAGAGGAATTGTCGTCTGGGTGCTGACAAGGAGCGGCCAAGCACTGGTGCCGATTATGGTCCGTGCACGCTTGGCGTGAATTGCTCGGCGGGCTCACTCTTTTTGCTAGGTGCGCTCACGCACTACCAGGTACCTAGATATTAGGCTATATTATAATATATTACTGTATATTTTATCGTAGGTAAATATATTTTACCATAAATTATCTCTTAGG